GTGATATAAAATTAATTGCTCCGACAGGATTAGGCGAAGATAAGGTGAAAATTAAGACCCCCTCCTCCCCCTCTCTAGCCCGAGTTAAGTGGATCATCTTTTCATTTATTTTCCTAACGGAAGGTGGATCACTTAAACAACGACTAATGTAAAAGGGGACAGCCTATTCACCTAATTTCCTCTCTTCACAAACGCATTAAAGTTTACAAAATAGAGGTGCTACTACTTAGTGGAAGAGGTGATAGAACAGCGGGGAGGGAGCAAAGAGAGGAAGAGACAGAAGAGGTGGAAAGAGGAGCGTAAAGTCAGTGAAGAGGCGTTAGAAGGAGGAGGCAACTTTGGCAAACGTCCTTCAAAAGTGTTTCATTGAGCATTGCAGGATGGGGAACAAGGAGTGGAGGTGAGAAATACGAGTACTAGGTCATGAATCCGGGATCTGAAATGATTAAATAAAAACCCCAGTATGCACAGTTGTAGAGAATGAAGAAACAGGGAAAGAGAAATCGACTGTAGGCGTCAATTTCGGAGTTAAGATCGCTATCCGTGGCGATAGTGGAGGTGGATACAGCGTTTTCCGAGTCATCGTCAATTTCCACCTCCCGAACTCTCAAATACCGTTCAGGTAGGGGATGATTTTGACACACTGCTGTCGCCATACTTCTACAAGATTTGCGGCCACTGGTATGGGAGAAAGTGACTCTCTGTTTCCGCCGTCGTGGTGGCAGTGCTGCCATCTGAATGTCAGCGGAGGGTGGAGGGGTGTGACGAGAGCGACAAGACCGTAAATACTTTTGACTCGTAGTAATTGGAGAGGCCACCACTACAGCCGTAGTTGTGCAAGTAGGATGTAAAATATGCGATTTTTGTAGTCCACTACAGCGTCGATCCGGTGGATTGGGAGAGTGATCCATGGCACCTTTGTTGTCCTATCAAGCAGGTGGATAAGCACAAGTCCGTAATTTTACCTCTGCACCATTTTATGCAGCAAATCCACCTAATCAGGACTGTCAGCACACAGACTGTGACTCTGTAAACCAAAGCAGTCTAATGAAGCGCATGCATTATTTGTATCCAGTGAAGCATAAAGCAAGAGACAATGAGGCAAAATTCTCATAAGATGATCGTCATCTTTGCCAAAAGACTCTTTAAAATTACACTTATAAACTCACGTAAATCTGATTACATTCAATTTGTTTGCACGAGTGTAATGGCACATCAAATTTCACGGCTCGACAACTATTTTTAACACAAGCACAACTAGGCGAGCTCTTTCTCAGGCTTTGACCAGTTCCAGGACTACTGGTGACGTCCATCTCCTGGTACTGTGGATTAATCAGACCACAACAAGTGCAACGTAGAAGCATTTGATGCGGTTTCGGTGATCGACAAGGACACACAACTTTGGCCAATGTTGTTCGCACAGTCATCCGAACCTAAAATGCAAACATTCAAGACAAAACATCGCATACTAACCAGACAGACATTGTTTGTTTGCAGAAGCTCTTTCCTCAATAACAAATGGGTATTTTCGAAACCATATTTGGGTGGTAGCGTGGCTGACTACACAAAACTTCGTTAACTTAGCAGCACTGAAACATGGTTAAGAGGACAGGAATAAATCAGAAAATGTTTGAAATTCAGCTCTTTGCCTATGTTCGATGAAAAAAGTAGTTCTGTGCGCAATGCTGTACAGCAAAGAGGATCTGTAGATGGACTAGGGATGTCTAACTCCAACAAATGTCTTTAATTCTTGCATAACTTGTGATTTTGAAAGAAAAAATTGAAGAATCAATCAATTGATCAATCAGAAAGGCATTGACTGATAAAGGAATTAAGTAGTATGTCCATTTTGACACTCTCTGGTGGTTGTGTCAAAAATGAAATATTGGAATCCATTTAATCGCTCAAATATAACCACTTTTTTATAAGACAGACTCATTTTTGTTCCAGATATCAAAATTCCTGTTGTAAACGTAGTTCTATTGTCCTAGCACTGACATCAAGCTCAAAAAAACTTTTGCAATGCGAGATGGAACCTAACAATGTCTGCAAGGAGATTGTAAGACGTTCTCCAGTGCAAGTGAAGTCGGCGGTTTACACTGACCATAGAACAATTTAGATAATTCTGGTCAATTTTGAAGGCCGCCTTGGCAACTGTTCAACCCCCCGTAATTTTCGCGACAATCAACAAAAAAGGGGACAGAAACTTTATCACCCCTATCGGAACTATCCAACGCCTAAGGACAGGATAAAAGACATCGAGGCACGAAAAGGGAAGCACATTAATGCAATACATCCGCCTCATGAAAAAAAAACAAATTGTTTGAACGCTTTAATGCGTTGAGGGGAAAAAAGGCCATTGACAACACAACAGCGGACGCAACGAAAATTAAGTCCAAGCAAATCCGGATGTCCCATTTTTGTACCAGCATTTCTTCACCAACATCTCCTTCATTGCCTATTAACTTGCACAATTCCTTTCTTTTTTTGCTAAAAGTGGAAAAATCCTCTCCTCTTTAGAAGGAAAGTCATGAAAACCTACGCTTTTAGTCGCATTTTAGTGGGGACATTTAAATAATTCCTAAGCTCAGGACAAAAATGAGGATCGTGCAAGACGCTTCAAGTGCCTAAGGCCTCTGTTAAGGCGCAATAAAGTGGGGCAACGTTGCACACACTCAAAATGTGCAAATTTTGTAAGCCCTGAGACACATGACAAGACTCCTTTTCACTGTCAAGGCTACAGACAAATTTTCATGACTATCAAATCACTTTTACATCGAAATACCTCTTATTAATGCGCATACTCTTCTGAGTTTAAATTTTGCTTTTGTAGTGTGATTTGATATTTGTTTAAACTTACGCATAGGCTTGTTAGCCTGCGCGATTTGCACTTCCGCTTCGGCGGTGTGACAGGAAAACGATGCCGACAGCCTTCCAAGCCTTCTAGTTGTTAATAAAAGCCTTTTCCGACACTGATGTGGTGTGTTACGACTTTGAGAAAGGCTAGGGTGACAAAATACACCACCACACCATGCATGTCACTGTAATTGCGATTTTACGCCTTGAGGGGACGAGGGAGAAGTGACTGCCATTCCCCTTATTATACGTCCTTAAACAATTCTGCCTTTTTTTTCCTGCATCTCGTGCGATAAGTAATCATGACTTGACATAAATAAAGCCCTGAGCCTGACAGTTTATATCTACGTTGATATCTTGCCTTTCATGTGTACTCGTTTAATTGTCCTTTTGTAGAGGTGATAACATCATCGTGTCCGGCACCGATGGAGGCTAGTGACTCTCACCTCTGAAAGTGTATTTTTGATCAGGAAACTCCACGTCTAAGTCAAAGAGGAGTCCACCACCTCCAACAGTGTTAATAATAGAATGGATTGTACGAATAGTAAAAGTGAGAGGTAGTTAGGCGATTCGCACGACGGTGCTGACTACCAAGTGGGTGGGACACCGTCAGCATCGTGAGTGTTGGAGTGGATCAACGCGTAAATCGTCACCTACACTCAGTGCATAAATACACACTTCCTTATGAACTTTCAGAGTGAAGAGGAGTATAAGAGGAGCATTTCAAATCTCTTACCTGATCACGCCATTTGGAGAGAAACACCTTTCTTGACCAGTAACTGGCTAATGTGAATTCCAGCATTGCCGAAATGACAAAGATGAGGCAGGCTATCAACCAGATGTCGATGGCTTTGATGTAAGACACCCTTGGAAGAGTGTTATTTAGGCTGGCAATCTAAAGCAAAGTAAAGTGCACAACTTAGGACGCTCCATTGACAACCTCGTGACTTCTGTTGTAGCAGTGGTGATGTTTCCTTTTGTCAGTCACATTTAAGTCCACACAAAATCATGCACTAATGCTGAAGCAAAAAAAAAGAAAAGTGAAGTTCAGGACAGTTTGGGGAGAATAAGTATCAGTTGGTGTCAACTTTGACATTTCCCTATTCGTACTCCGACTTGGCTTAAACCTGACATATTTGTGCACGCGAAGAAGAGTCATTGAACAATCAAACGCCTTTTTAGATTCTACAAAACTATCAAATTCATGTTTACACATGTAAGATGGAAATACTTTTTTTTTGTAGTAAAAAAAACAAGTTTGTCATGATGTGGAGTGATTGTGCGATGCATCAACTTATGTCGCCGTGGCCTCATGTTAGAGGAATCACCTAAAATGGTTGCCTTCACTTTCAACCTACTATAAAAGTCTGTCTTAAAAGTGTCTTAAGCGCAGTAGACATGACGCTATTCCTCAAAAAGCCTCCTTCCCTCCTCTACTCACGATCCGATAAGATTTGCTCCAGCAGGAGGATGGAAGAGAGAGTGGCGACTTGCCTTGGTGAGGAGAGATATGAGAGTGAGCAGACCCAAAGTGACTCGAGCTGGGATTGCATCCGGACTCACCCAAAAGGTAAGCCAGGAGACAATGACTATGAGAAAGGCGGGTACATAAGTTCCAACCAAGTACGATCCAACTTGTCGCTTCAATTGAAATCGTCCCAGTAGGCAAGTGTAGGTTCCTGTGCTCGTAGTTTGCGGCTCTGTACAGTCCTAAAAGACAGGTAACTGCAACTTGCAGGCAATCTTACTGTCACTTTGCAAATTTGAAATGCTGGGGTAGAGTTAAGTGACTGTGGAGTGGTTTAAGGTAAAAACTAGGTAATATTCCGTGTTACCAAATCGGACAAGCATTAATCCTCATCCAGGAAAGAAGTTGGACATGACATTTTTATTGTCCCTTAAGTGTGTCGGATTTTCTTCCCTCCGTCCAAATTTGTGCTAGGATAAACGAGTTTTAAATCATATTTTTCAATATCAACTGTGTAGTGAACACAAAAAGTCAAATAAACTTTCACTTCATTAGGGAGAAAGAAAGACCGAAAGCTTCTCCTACTTGGACTGGCGGTTCATGGTAAAGCGCATCATAAGGAAGGCAAATAAATTTTCAGGGAAAAAATATGACGTTCACATTTATATATCGGCCGTTCTGGCTGTTATTCTCTGCTGGAGGCGAACCCCTCACTTCCATGCAGCAGTAGTGGGTTACAAGCAATGGGCAAGAGGTGAAACGGTGCACATCATGGAGAACCAAAAAATGATGGCTACAGTGAAAAAAGGGACAGCTGCATAATTAATGACCTCGGTGAAGAGTCTGTCAGATGAGGAGAATGCAAATAGCCAGATCGTATTTTGTCATTTTACGTACAACCATTGAGTAGACTTGTAGTGCCACTATTAACTCTCTCTCTTGTAGACGTGTGATTAAAAATTTGGGTTTTTGACCATTGAATAAGTTTTTTTTCTTGTCAAGAAGGTAGGAATGTGACAAATGACTGCTAGTATGTTGACACATCTGTAGATACTAATCGCACATTGGCTTTGCATGTCATTGAATGGCAAAAATCGTAGCCGAACTGATGATAAAATGATTGTAAAATGTTAATGTAGACTATTGCGACATACAAGCACACCGACACTAATAAAGTGGATGTCGGGAATAGTTTTCAGCGATTTCCACGCCTGAGTAGAAACTCGAATTTAAACTCACTGTAGAGACGCTAAAACTACTGGTGACACCGTGGCCATCAAGTTAAAATAGTGCGTTTCCGTTATGTCTCAAAAAGACAAAGCAACTCAACACGATGGCACCAAATCCTAATAGAATGGTACAAACCAACTTTAGTTTTTGTTTTGCACAGTTATAATGATTGTACTGAGGCAAGTCTTCCACCAGAAACAAAAAAGAACACATTTTCGGATACGAATTTCTACTATTAATTTCTGATTTAAGTGCCTCCAGATGAAGGCCCTTTTTAGAACTTAAAGTAATGCAAAATGTGATATTAATTCCGTGAAGCCGAAAAAATGATTGCTTAGCATTGATATTAAATATTTAATTAGGAGACTTTCTTTTAAAAAATCCTAAAAGGGTGGCGCGAAGTACGCCAAAGGAAAGTGTTTACGACCACGGTATGGACTTGCATGCATGAAAAACAAAGTGCTAAAGTAGCAGACATTTGTGCGAGGCAGGAGGGGATGGAAGTGGGGGAGCGTTTTAAAGAAGGACTACTTAAAAGGGAACAATTGGAGCTTCACCTCTGTTACAGTTGAAGACGGCGTATTGAACTCCGAAATTAGCATGCCGTCAGCAAATTTGAGTGCATTATCTCCATCCCAGATGAATTTCAACTGGTCAATTGTGTATCCATAGCTGCCGATATCCATGTCGCAATCCTGGTGGTCCATGGGAAAGTTGCGTAGATGCATTTCACAGGCCAATTTCATTGTGATCTTCTGACTGTAATAAATTCTCCCATCAGGACTCACCCGAATCATGTGGTTGGGAACAGTCATGCGGTAGAGGAACCCCTCCTTTCCATTTCGAAAGAAGAGATCGGGCAACCAAATCTCATTGCGTTTATGCGTGAGTAGGATGTCATTGGAGATGGCTTCGTACTCCGATAGATGCTGCCACCGCAAGCGCGGATCTTTCCACGTCTGAACTAGTATCATGTCTGCGGTGTACTGCATGCTGATGACATCTACACTGGTGATTGCGAGAATTTTGATAGAGACCCATACTCGTGTGGGCTCATGCGTGCCCTCGGTAGGACGTTCATAGCGACGGTAGTGACGCATGAGGTGTTTGATGAGATTTTGCTTTAGCACAGGATAGGGTAGCTCGTGGTAATGTGGTAGCGTTGGGGGATTGATCAAACGGTTAAAGCTGAAGAAAGGTTGTCGTAATAGGTCTTGCGGTCTCTTATCGGCGGTGTGGAGACACGAGGTGAGCAGGGGAAGGAAGAGCAATGTCAATGGAGCGTGGGATGAGAGGCGAATGGACATTGCTTTAATCCGCTGCAATCTCCGCACCGCGTATGCATTGAGCTCACAACCCCGATCTACGGTATGTGTGCGTGTGCGGATGTGTGTGTATGTATATGAGTGCGGGGAAGTGAGACAAATGATTCACCTAAACTACTACACGGGTCGTCTCATCATGTCTCCCCTGCTGGCTCGCATTGCTCGTTCGTGCGCTCTCACTCCTGCTCGGCTCACTCACCGAGACGCTGTACTCTAGCCTATCTGGGATGTCTACCAGTGACCTTCAGAGCTTAACCAATCAGGGCCTCGCAGGTGAGACCATTCTCGTGATTATGATTGGCCGTAGTAAGATGGCGTAGCATGTGAGAGGTCAAACGGTTGGTATTGCAAGAACGGTGAATTCATAATACCACTAGTGCATAGTCGACTTAGGAATATTCACTCGATTTTGCTATTATATCATAAAAATTCACTTACTCCATTATTTGCAGAGACTATAAGGCGCTGGTTACCACCTTTCCTTCGGTCTGGTGTAGCATGTAAGCATAGGCTGCAAAGAAGTGAAGCACAATGCACTGGTTGTTTGCTTAACTGAGTTTTGGTGAAGAGACCTAGAAGGACTTCGGATCGCGCTTTGATACATGGCAGTAGCTACAAGTCGTGTCAAGTGTTAAATGTCTGCATCCTGTTCAAATATTGTTTCTTCAGTCATCTATAAGGGGAATTTCGGGCTCCGCCTTTGACACCTGCAAAACGCATTACTTATCTTAAAGAACATCACTTCTGAGTCAAAGGCTTTGCTTGACAGAAAAGTTCATTTTAGTTCATCCAGACTGTAGTAGCGTATTTTACATGATCATTAATGCAATTACAATGTCTGCAAACCCTCTGACAGAGCACTTTATGTGGGCGTTCATTGTCAATTCATAAGGATATCCTTTATCTGCAATCGCAGTGACACGAATCCAGACAGGTACGACTATACAGTCCCCAAATCGGAAGTGAATCCTCAAGGCCTTTGACCAGTGCAACTGCGCCTTGCGGTGGCCTCCGAATCCAGCACCAATGCACAACAAAATTCCAAATCTGATAGAGATGACATGAGATGCTATTGACGCAGAGATTAAGCAACAACAACAACAACAACAACTGACAGTTTGCTAACTAAAAAGTAAATGCTCAATAAAGTAGTGCCAAGGATGGCAGTCAAAAGGAGAGGGTGGAGAGAGAGAGAGAGCGACTTTGTTATAGACTGATGATCAGTTGTATTCTTAACTTGACAGCAAAAGCAATTAAGGACACCGCTATTGTACCTTTGTCCGTTATTCAAATTGTCCTCTTTGCATCGGATACAAGCCTGCTCAGACATTATGCATTCTTTCGTCCTCGGAGAAGTTCCGGAGCAAGGATGGAGAATAAACAAGCTACTTTAAGGCGACACCATAAGCTAGACAACGACATTGTTGCATCAATTAGTGCACAGAAATGGTAGTAAAGCGCAATTTGAGACTGTTTTCATGCATTTTTAGGGTACCACTAAGGTTCACCCGATGGTCATCACAACAACAAAGTTTACGGTTTGCAATGATATCAACATGTGTAAAAAAAATTTTCTCAATGCATGTGTGCTGAGTGAAGAAATGTGAAGTAGCGCGATAGGTTAGACAACTTCAGATAAATTTGTTAAACCCTTATTTTTTTAGACTTTGATTAAAAGCGCGATTCGTAAAATTGGATGGTTCAGCAATTGCCTGAGAGACAATTTTTTGTTGGTTTTAACTAACCTGACCAATGCGGTTAGGGTCTGAAGTCTCTCTCACCCCGTCAGTTATGCCGCATGACACCCCTAGCGGTGCCACAGGACATGTGACAATGCCAACACACACTAGAAGGCCTTACAGCAGTCCTTTGGCACCTTAATAAAATCGCATATCCCTTTGAATAAGTAAAATCGGTAGACCTTACAACCACCAAGGTGAGAGGCCATTTGAGGTGGATGAAGTTGCAATAACTTCAAAGAAAAAGCTGTCCAAAGTGGGCGAATAATGAGGCAATCACTTGCGTTTGGGGTCTAAAGACATGACAGGGCGACGAGTCCGGTAGCTGTGTGGCATCATTAAAAGTATACTCCGGTAAACATTTGTGCAGATTTGGTGTAATGGGGATGTTGATTCGACTTTGATAAACACAAATTGTGCAATGAATGTGAAATTCCACCTCATCGACGTCACTTGACATGCATGCCAACAAATCTACCGCATTATTTGCAAGTTTACTGTTTTTTGACACCTTTGAACTTGCTTCCGTTTCTGTTAGACTGACATTTCAAGCTAAGCCTTAATTTAAGCATTGCAATCCAACCTGATTGATGGGAGGACGTTGGTCACTAAGAGAATACGCCTTCACGCTTGACAAATCCCGCTGAGTTTCGGCAATGCACACTCCTCGGCTCAGTGCCTTCCTTCCAGCATTACTGAGCCTCATTTCGCCTTTCTTTTGTCAAGCTTTGGGTTTAGAGCCGCGCTCTGCAATAGCAAAAGCCGCAGCCATTTTGTCTTTATCAGTTGGTGGCTAAGAGGCAGGGAGGGAGACCACTTATTCTTACAAACTATCTATTTTGTTTAGCGAATCAAAATTCTGCTTAGCTTTGATGAAGAGAGTGATTGGTACAACACTTGAAAGGCAGCCGAAAAATTTGATTGCCTTAATGAATAAGGCCAAAACATTTAAGAAGTGCTTTCTATTACGTAAAACACAAAACGCCGTCTAACCTATGTGCTTTTAGGCGTTGCATTGGCATTAAGAGAATCAATGCAAAAGCAATTCATAAACGCCGATGGGGGAAAAATTATTGAGAGCACTTCAACAGCAACACGCCTCCGCGTGTCGGAATCTACTAAACAGAATCTAATGCAGCTTGCATTTATTTGTG